TGGTTGAAGCTGCCCTTCAGGGACCCGAAGGCTGTGTTGTATGCTTAAGTTTTGGGGGAGGCACTGGGGACTGAACTCAGGGGCACTGAACCACTGAGCCACACCCCAGCCCTATTTTGTATTTTATTAGACAGGGTCTCACCGAGTTGCTTAGGGCCTCGATTTTCCTGAGGCTGGCTTTGAACCCAGGATCCTCCTGTCTCAGCCTCTTGAGCCGCTGGGATTACAGGCGTGTGCCACTGTGCCCAGCTCCGAAGCCTGCTTTTGCTGAAAACACTGACCCTTGGGCTTGCAGGTGTCCAAGGAGTGACAGGAAGTCACCTGTGCCTTCATACCGTGTCTGTTCCTCTGCTGTCTTCGCCTCCGGCCAGATTCTGCTCAGCGCGGCCAGCAGACATGGTGATGTTGAGAAATGTCTCTCTAGGACCTAGACTTGCCTGGCCGCCCTCCTCCCCTTCAAGGCTAAACACACCCACCAGCCCCCATGAGGGAAACCCCAGAAAAGAGGGGAAGAAGGCAGCCCAGGGGCCGGGGCCTGGCTCAGTGGTAGAGGGCTCCGTGGCCCCTGCGAGGAACCAGCTTCGCTCCTCAGCATGGAATAATAAAGCTGTGTGTCCATCTGTAACTAAAATGTCTTTCTTAAAAGTGGCACCCGGTTCCTGGAAGAGCTCCACCTGACCCCAGGAAGGACGCGAGCTTCCTGTCCCTTCTTGGCCTCTTGAGTCCTGTCCTGCATCTGTAGGCCCTGGAGCTGGGAAGCTGATGGGGAGCAACGCTCGCTCTTCTCCATTCTTTGGCCACTGAATAAAGCCTTTCTTTCCCCACAAAACACTTCTCTGGGACATCAGTTTTTCTGTGGGATGGGCTTCAGGGCCTGTGTTGGGGAACAGGCTAGTGGCTTGGCAGTGGTGGCCACAGGGGATGGCTTCCCTCCTGTACCCCTGCAGGCTTCTCAAACAGGTCTTCCAAGGCCCCTCGTGAACAGGGGGTCTTTCTTCCTGAGAGGAGAGAAGCTCAGGCACTTCTCGCCGAGCCTCATCCCCAGCCTTTCTAATTTTTTTTTTTTTTTGAGACAGTCTCACTAATTAGCTTAGGGGTTTGCTAAGTTGCTAAGGTTGGCTTCAAACTTGCAATCCCCCTGTCTCAGCCTCCTTTGTCGCTGGGATACCAGGCTTAGTCATCACTTCTTGAGGGACAAAGCTGCAGGTGAAGCCCCTGAAGCCCTGGCCGTGTCCTCCAGCTCCCTCGCCCTCCTGCTCCACACTCACCTCTGCTCCAGGCTCAGCCCTGCAGAGGAAACTGCTGCAGCCTGGGTCCACCACACAGCTCTGCTCTTCCTGGTGAAGGCGGTCCTGCACCTGCTGTCCGACAGGGTCACAGCGTGGGGGATCCCTTCCGGATGGCAGGGCCGCGCCATCCGGAAACTGGAACCATTAGGAAGGTTAAGTGTCTTGTTTGTGATACCCATGACATGGATAACAGGGAGACGTCAGTCAATGATAACAGTGAGTATCGCCTGAGACCTGTACAACACCTACCTACAGAAAACCGATGGCTGTGCCCACAGTACAAGGACCACCGTAGGTAGCTTGTGGCATCCCCTCAAGGACAAGAGGCTAATAAAAATACATTCCCCAACCAATAGACCCTCCTTTGCTTTACCCAGAAACTTACGATGAGAATGGAAAACACATAGTTAATGTAAATGACAAATGGGTTGAGGTGCAAAGCCTGCCCTTTAGTTCAAGATCACAAAGACATAAGAATTGGTGTGCTTTGACCAAGGATCAAGGGAGTTCTTTAAGAAAGCAGTCGTATAGGTCGTATGAAAAAAAAGGAAATTACCTTGGAAATTAAAATAGAAAAATATAAAATTTACATAGATATATTTTAGAGGCACTTCAGAGTAGTAGGCTTTTAAATAATAGACTTTTTCACTACTTTAAGTGTGTTTTACTGGGATTTTAGTTTAGAAGTAAGAAAACTTACCAATAATCATAAGTATGCTTTAAAGTTAAAGGTTTATGAAATAATTATAGGTATGCTTTAAAGTTAGAAGTGAATAGTAGGTCAGGAGTCATGTAGTCTAGTTGCGTCTCCTAGCACCTAGTGATTGAGGAGAAAACGTAAAAGCTTGATCATGATTGTCTAAGGTTACAGAAAAATATTCTGAACAATGTCCTCAATATTTTAGGTGATCATTGTATATCAGAAAAGATTATAATTCTTGAAAATTATGTAAATCAAAAAAGTTTGGGGCTTTGAAGCTATCCACTAACTACCTGAAAAAACACCTGTAAAAAGTGTATAAAAATGAAGGTGCCTCCAGGGACAGAGAGATGTCCTCTGAAGGTTGCTGGTAACTTGCAGCCTGTCTTCCTGACTCTTCTTCTTTCGCCAAAGCCACTCCTCCTTAGGACCCCTGGTCCCTCACTCCCCCTGCCGGGGCTGGACCTCGGCACTTCCCCTCTTGTTTTCTAAATCTATTGGGCCATATGTTATACTTTTACTCTTTTCTCACTTTAAACATGGTTGGCAGGATCAGTGAGTCGGACGCAGCCTGTTGGGTCAAGTTTGGTCTTGCATTTGTGGGCACCTCCACGGCCTTCAGACTGGCCCAGTGGGCTGCAGACCATCCTCACGGTGTGGCTGCTCCGCTGTCTGGGCTCCTGACCGCCAAGCGTCCGCTCCAGGAGGCCATGTGCAGGGAACGGAACACAGGGAGGGCAGCCCTGCTTTGCCTTGCCTGCACTCGCCTGGGAGCCCTTGTCATGGCCTGTGAGCGCAGTCCTTGTCCCCAATGCCAATTCATGCCAATTTAATAATGAATTGGTTTGGGGAACAGGGAAAAGGCTTATTACTTTGCTAACAAAGAAGAACCAAGGAACTCCTCTCCCAGAGGCTGTGGTTCTGCCCCAGGGAGAACAGAGGGATTTTAAGGAACTCTCCAAGGGCTGCATTCCAGGTGTGCTCCAGTGGGGTCCCAGGGCACCCTGAGGGTGTGTTAGGACTCACTTCCTAGATCCTCGGGCAGACGTCTCCTTTCTGTGGATACAGAAAATGACAGCCCCCCATCAGGGTGGCCTTGGAAAAGGGAGTAAAAAAGGAAGCCATAACTCATAGCACTGATGCTCCCCCACACGTTCCACAAGCCCTGTTGGGAAGGTGGCCATCAAACCTAGAATGACAGTCTCTGGGAAGAGACTTAAGCATAGATCTCTCCCCAAATAAATCCTGGTAACCGCTGACCCTCGGTAACTTGATAATCCTGTCTGAAGCTTCATTTATCTTGAACCACGAACTGAATTGGGAATTAAAGAGATACATTCTGGGCAGGATGGTGACCCCCATTTTTCTTTCCAACGTTAGATTTAATTTTTTTTTTTTTTTGGACTAGGGAGTGAACACAGAGGTGCTTTACCTGAGCCACATCCCATCACTTTTTATTTTTTATTTTGAGACAGAGTCTTACAGGGTGGCCTTCAAACTTTCGATCCTACTGCCTCAGCCTCCCAAGTCTCTGGGGATCGCAGGCGTGTGCCACCACGCCCAGCCTCTTAATGGTGTCTGGAAGTTTGGAGGAGCGAGTCCTGAGGATTTTAGGCCCCTAGGCAGCCATGGTGGACACTGTCCAAGGTGCTGGGTGCCCGGGGCTGGGGACCCGCATGCCCGAGGGTTCCCCAAGGCTCTCCAAAGTAGTTCCTGTTTGAACCTACAAATGCCTCCTGGCGGCTGGGTTATTTGTGCCCAGCCAGACTGCGGCACTCCCGCCCTCGGTGGGTGGGGGCGACCTTGGGAGACCCGGTCCATCACAAGTCAGGCTCCTTGCTGTACGCGGTGCTCGCGCAGCGGCTGAAGACGCCTCTGGGTTAGAGGAGGTGATCTGGGAGGTGACCTGGGAGGTGACCTCGGAGGGCGCCACCCAGCGGGGAATTCCGGTCACGCCCACGCGTGCCCAGTGGAGCGCGAGGCTGGCGGAGAGGCGGCGCCAGGGGCCGCGTGACCTGTGGACGAAAGCGCGCGCGGGCTGGCAGCCCGGTCAGGCGCGGCAGGTGCGAGCCTCAGGCGGTGGACGCGCTGGCGGCCGAGGTGCGGATCCCGCTGGGCAGGATGCAGAGATGCGGGGGTGCGGGTCTTGTGGGCACCTGGGGTCCCTGTGGCGAGGATTCCCTCCCTGGGTACCGGATCCATGGGGTAGGGTGCAGGGATGCGGGGTCCGGGTCCGGGGTCTTCGGGGCGCGAGGGGCGTCCAGAGACGGTGATGCGGCATGCGGCTGCGGGTTCGCAAGGCAAGAGTCTCGCTGGGCTGGGCGCCGGCCAGGGGGACAGAGCGTCCCGCGGGTCGGGGTGCGAGGCCCGCTGGGGGCGGTGCCTGGGCCGCCTCTTCCTGCGGGTTCCAAGTTTCGGTTTCGCCTCGGGGTACCGGGTCCAGCCCCGCCCCGCCCCCAGCTGTCTGGCCGCCCGGCGGCTGGGCGGCAGGCCTTTCCTCAGTCCCCGCCACCTCCCCGGAGGTCAGCCCTCTCCCGACCAGCCCCTGCCCGGGGAGCGCAGGAGCCTCCCCCGCGGCGCTGCGGGTGGAAAGGCTGCGGCGGGAGCGCCTAGCGGAGCCGGGCGGATCTGGGCCTGCGGCTGGGCCCCGCATCCTGCGCCGCCACCAGGAGCAACTCCTGTAACTTTAGGAGAACGGCGTCGCGGCCCGGAACAGCTGCGCCCTCCCGGTTTCCTGCGCAGGAGTCAAGGCCAGGGTGGGGGCTTTGAGCAGCGCAGACCCCGCGAGTCAGCCACCCCTGCCCCCACCCGCTTTTCCTTGTTGGTGGTGGGGACGGGGCGCGCCTGATTTTGCCCCGGGCTGGTGACTGGCGAAAGGACGGAAGCTGAGTGGGGTGCCTGGGCCGCTCACTCTGCCTTTTGGTCCTTGGTGCAGACTTACACAATAGAGTGCTTTGGAGAGGTGTCCTGAGCCCTACTCTGGAAGTTCTGCTCTGTAGGCCAGGAGAGCACTGCATTAGACAACTTCATTCGCGTGGTGACGGGCCCAGAACGCACTGCCCCAAAATGTGACCTAGTGTTCCGGGTGACAAAAGAGTTACGTTTCCCCAGGTGTTGAAGACTGACCCGAGGCAAGCGTAGAAAGCAACTTTTATTTAAAGAATAGAACAGAGACAGACTTTTCCGCAGAGAAGGGGTCCTAGAGCTGGTATCCTGCGCAGGGGGTGAATATTGTCTTTTTATTAGTTTCCCGGTTTCTTACTTCTCATGCCCCCCTCCTTCTGTCCTGCCCATGTGGGGGGCAAGGGGACAATTCAGGGTACCTCTCCCCATTTTACAGTGTCTTCCCCGAGAAGCAGGAAAGGAGCCACCCAGGGACATCCCCATTAACAAGTCCCTGCTGGGAGGAAGAATCCCACCGGAGGCAGGTGATGTGGGGAAGCGGGTGAGGGGGTAGGTCCTGAAGGTATTAACTTCATTTCCATTGACTCATCCCCCCCCCCTTCCGTCCCAACCAGATCATCTCTCTACACTAACTGCCCAACTTTTGTTCTTGCTTCACTGGGAGGCAGAGCTAGGAGGTCTGCAGCTGGTTATTCTGAGAAACCTAGAGTTGCAGAGTAGCTCTGTAGGCTGTCCTTTTGTAAAAGAAATTGCCTGTGAAAGAACTCTGCATTAGTAAAGAGGGCTGCTCCCACTACCTGGGAAACTGCAGAACAACTTCATTCACATCACAGTTCCTCCCTCGCCTTCCCTGACTGTGTCCACCCCAAGCTCTGTCCCTTCCAGGAATTCTGGTGCTGGGTAACAGCTAACTGGCCCTTCTTCAACTCACATTTTGTGGGTAGGTACATAATTAAATGTGCATAATTTTCCTTCTGCTAGTCTGTCTGATGTGGATTTAATTCATAGCCCAGCTAAAGAACCTAGGAGGGTAGAGGGAAGCCGTTTTTTGCTTCTCTCCAGTGGAAAGGAGCCTTGGGGAGGGGTGTGGTAGGGAGTCACTGAAAGTGTTTGAGGAAGTGTCCAGACCTTGGTGGTATTTTTGGTTCAGGGTGTGTGGAGGGGAGGGGGCTCATGGGAACTGGGGCTGGGCTGTGGCACGTGAACCACCTGGAAGAGCTGGCCCTCCAGTGCAGACCTTGGGTGAGGGGCAGGGGGCTGCAGCAGGGGAAGTCTGTATTCAGCTAGCACCTCCAGCTGGTGAGGGGCCACTGCTCCAACCACTGCTTCTGCAGCTCTTTGCAGAAGAGGGTGGTGGATGGGTAGGTGTGCCTTGGGATTCACAGGTTAGGCAAGAGCCCAGGCCCGCCATCTTGAACTTGGCCTGGAGTGCCTGTGACCCCCTTCCTACTTGTGTTACCGCTGTTGGCCGGTGACGAGTCCTTGCTTCCCCGATGTTGAAGAATAACACCAGAAAAGCAGAGTAGAAATTAGAAGTTTATTAAAGGACAGCAGAAAAGACTTCTCCCGGAGGAAGAAGGGGACCCAAAAGGTGGAATCCGTTTGGCAGGCAAATGTGTTCCCCTTTTTATAGGTTTGGTGATGGAATGCACGGGGAAGGGTTAGGACACAGGTGGGCCAAACGGGCAGGAAGGACTTAATTATCACTTTTTGGGATGGGCTTATCACTTCTCTGGGATGGGCTATCTCCAAATCTGTTGGGGGCTGTTTCCTGGGCTCCATTAACATTTCTTTGGGGTGGACTTTGGCCTAGGGCCTTTTCGGGACTTCATTAACATTCCATGAGTTGTCCTGTGTTTCCCGGAATCATTCTCAGCATGGCCTCCATTTTAGATTTCACTCGATATTAGACCTAACTACACTGACTACCTAATTTTAAATCTGGCTTCACTTGGATGCCACCTGGTCAAGGAGAGGAGTGGGCCTCCATAGATGGCAGTGTCCCCGAGTTATTGGGAACCCCAACCCCAGCTCATTAGACCTGGGCTACCCAGCTTGGGCTGGCCTGTGTAGGAGGCACTGCTCAGCCAGAGGTGACCATGGCCACTAGCACCTCTCTAGTGTGGTAAAGTTGTCCCTGTATGACTCACCTATCCCTCACCTGTTCTTCGGGCTACTGCGGGGAAGGTGTCTTGTCCCTTCTCTCAGGGGAGCAAGGTGAGGCACCCTGGCACCTCTGGCAGGCAGTGGCACCCCGGCCCCAGGTTGACTTTCCAAGCAGTTCTGCAGGCTGCCCGGGGGCTGCCTGCGTCCGTTGGTTCAGGGTCCTGCCCTGGCTGCAGCTGCACCGGAGTCCCCGGCCTGCCTCCCCCAAGTTCTCAGGGGTTGTCTGGAGAAGCTGGCCGGCCTGTGGCCTGTCGGAGCTGCAGTCAAGCCTTGCTGGGTGGTAGCCAGGCTGGGGGGGGGGGAGCTGCTACCGGATGGAGAGGATCCTGGGCAGAGTGGGACTTGGGATGGAGCAGTGGCTGTTGCCGCAAGCTCGGTCCTTGTCCCTGATTCCAGTCCAATAACGGGGACATAGATTTGAGAATAAAGAAAAAGAAGGTTTATTGCTTTGATAGAGAAAGAGAAGCAGGGGACTCCTGTCCCAAAGGCTGTGATTCTGCCCATCAGCAGGAACAGGGGTCTTTTATAGAGTTGATGCAGAGAAGTGAGATTAGGGAGGAGAGATCTGGGAGGAGAAACCCAGGGGAAAGAAAATCAGGAAGGAGAGGTTAGAGAAGAGAACATTAGGAAAAAGGGAAAAAATGTGTAAGTTTCAACACCAGGGGATGTAGTCAGAGCGTCCAGTGGAGCCCTGCTACAGGGCCAGCTTCAGGGACACACTGCTGTCCGGCTTCGATTGACCAGGGGACCTTTCTGGTTACAGCATTCCACTTTCTCAGAAAATGAAACTGAAATGGATTGTGGTCACATGACACGAGGCACGGTTTATAGCGGCTGCCTTGAGGACTTCTGCTCTTCTTTCCAGACCTGCAGGGGAAGGGGCTCGGGCTGGAGAAGCCTGCAGTCAGAGGCATGGAGTGTCCTCAGTGCCAGCATGTCTCCCAGGAGGAGGCCCCCAAGTTCTGCAGCCAGTGTGGACAGAGGCTGCCTCCTGCAACCCCTAGACCAGGCAAGTCTCAGGGGTGCTGGGGTCAAGTGGGGAGGGGGGGCAGCTGTGCCTTCCAGGCCCACGGGAACTGGGCCAGCAGGCAGCCTCAGCCGGCCGCCCCTCCCTGACAGAACTGGGGAGGGGCGCTTTCCCCCAGCGGCTTTGTGAAGTTCTTGCTGGAATCACCTGTGGTGGTTTCCTTCCTTTGAGGGAACTGGGGTTTCGTCTGCCTTGGGGATAAGAACCTCTGGCTGAGCTAAAGGGCCCTGGACATTCCAGAGCACATCCCTGAGGTGTCTGAGGCTGCGGGAGGGGGAAGACTCTGTGGGTTTGCAATTCCGTGGGAGGCGTCCGTGCAGGTCCGTGTAGCTTGCCCAGGTTGTCAGTGGAGGGACAGGAGGAGACAAGTGCCTTCTCTGCTGAGGGCAGGGAGACAGAGACATCCTCCCTTGCTCCTACCCCACTGCCCCGGAGCCTATGGGGGCACAGAGCTTCCAGAGGGCTGCACGGATCTCCCCCATCCCAAGGGAGGCTAAGACAGGAGGATCCCGAGTTCAAAGCCAGCCTCAGCAACAGCGAGGTGCTAAGCAATTCAGTGAGACCCTGTCTCTACAGTACAAAAGAGGGCTGGGGGTGTGGCTTGAGTGCCCCAGAGTTCAATTCCCAGTACCAAAAAAAAAAAAAAAAAAAAAAAAACCAACCAAACAAAAAAAATTGATTACTGGACAAGACAGGGTGGTCTATGATGGTGGCCAGGAAGGACAGTGGGGCAGGTAGAGCCCCTGGGGGGCTTCATTTAGTCTCACTTCCCTTTGGGAAGTGGAGACCTGGTAATAGTGGTCCACTTTACCTTTTGAAGGTAACCCTTGCTGCGTATTTTATTTATTTATTTATTTTTTATCAGAATATTTTTTTTTAAAGAGAGAGAGAGAATTCTTAATATTTATTTTTTAGTTTTCGGCGAACACAACATCTTTGTTTGTATGTGGTGCTGAGGATCAAACCCCGGGCCGCGCTTGCGCGCTACCGCTTGAGCCACATCCCCAGCCCGATTGCTGCCTATTTTAAAAGGGAGGTGTTTTTCCTTTTCCTCTTCTCCTTCCCCCCCCCCCCCAACTTGGGGGCTGGGAATCAGATTACCCTGTGTTACTGGCTTTCCTGGGGACAGAGGTGACTATCTCCCAAATTAACATGCCAAGCCTAACTCCCCAGGGGCCCTCCCCCGCCCCTCCCCCCAGGTACACCTGGAGTGTAGCCTCTGAAGAGCTGAGAAGGCCGTTTTCCCTGAGGCGCAGAATCCCAGCCTCTGGGACCCGAGCCGCACCGCCCCCCTCCATTTCTCTGCTGGCAAAGCAACAAACCTTTTTCCTTTTTCTCAAAACTGTGTCCTCATTATTAAATTGGCATCAGGGACAAGGACCGATGAATAACCCCATGTTCATCATGCTGTAGGGCCTCCCTGAAGGGTCTCTGCCCCTCTTTTCATTTTGGGTGAGGGACGGGGACGGTGGAGGGCATCAGAGCCACTTGCCAACAGCACAGAGGGGGATCTGCCGGGGCACGGCAGGGCCAGTGGCCTTTCACCAAAAGCCGATGCTTCTCAGGGTGAGTCCTGTCGGGGAGGCAGATGAGACTCCAGATTCAGCCCCCACCTCTGGTTTCTGACGACTTTTATAGGCTGTCTGGTGCCGTAAAATTCCTAGTCTCCACGATGTGTGGCCGAGCCCCGGGTTTCTAGTGATCACAGAAGCGGGAGAAGGGGAAGGACTGGCTCTTCTTTCAAGGTCTTTCGTAGATCTCTGGCCTTGGCCCGAGCTTCTCCCAGAGGCCTTTACACTTCAAAGGAGCGTTAGATTCCCTGAGGAAGTTCTTTACAACCCAAAAGGTAGGGGTGCCCGGTGTTAGGTGTTAATCAGGTTTCCTGAGGTGGGCAGAGTAGACGGGGGAGGGGACATCTCCCTTGCCCAGGCATTAATTATCAGTCAGTGGACAGTGTTCCTTTTTTTTTTTTTTTAATACTTTTTCAGTTGTACACGGACACATTATCTTTATTTATTTATTTTATGTGGTGCTGAGGATCGAACCCAGAGTCTCTCACGTGGGAGGCAAGTGCTCTACCACTGAGCCCCAGCCCCCCAGGACAGTGTCCCTATAGTTTATTTTACATCATCTGTTACACTTATTAGATATGGAAAATGACAGCGCCCCCATCAGGGTGGCCTGGGAGGAGGAGTAAAAACAGAAGCCATAACTCACAGCACTGATGCCTCCCAATGTTACCACTGTTGACCGGTGCTGAGTCCTTGCTTCCCCTATGTTGAAGAATAACACCAGAGAAGCACGCCGAGGCAAGGTCAGAGTAGAAATTAGAAGTTTATTAAAGGACAGCAGAAAAGACTTCTCCCGGAGGAAGAAGGGGACCCAAGAGGTGGAATCCATGGAAGTGCTGTAGTTTCCCCTTTTTATAGTTCTTTCAGTGATGGAATGTAGGTGGGAAGGCCCAAGGGGTGGGGCACAGGTGGGGCAAAGAAGTAGTCTGGGCGGGAAGGACTTCATTAACACTTCTTTGGGATGGGCTATCTTTAAATCTGCTGGGGGCTGTTTCCTGGACTTCATTAACATTTCAAGAGTTGCTCAACTTTTCCTGGAATTCATTCTCATGGCCTCCATTTTAGATCTCACTCGATATTAGACCCGATTTACCTAACTACACTGACTACCTAATTTTAAATCTGGCTTCACCAATACGTTCCACAAGCCCTGGGGGGAAGGTGGCCATCAAACCTAGAACGACAGTCTCCTCTCCCCAAATAAATCCTGGCCGCTGACCCTCAGCCCTCCATCTTGCCCAGTAAAAACAAAGACCCCAATTCCTGAGGCCCAGGCTGACAGGTTCATTAATTCCGTCACCTCTCAGTGTAACCTACACAAGCCCAGCCCCCTCCTTTGTCCAGTGGCTCAGGAAGGTGGGTCCCTCGGAGGCATCACCCTGTTCCTGGATGATCCCTGAGGTGTGTGCCTGGCCACGTCCTTCCTGCAGGCAGGCAGAGCCCACAGGCTGGCCGGCCGGGCTTCCTGGTGCCCTGTGATAACTGCTTAAGAATAGAAACTGAAACAGGGCCCCAGGACCTGGCTCCCAGCCGAGGGAGGCCCCGCCCCTCCGCCCCTCAGAGGTTCTCCCCGAGGCTCACTGCTGCAGGGGGCAGGAGTCCTGGGGCCACCCTGGGTACCTGTGCTCTGCCCAGGGATGCAGGCATGGGGACACCTGGGGTCTCTGCCCGGGGGGGGGGGGGGGGGGGGGGGCTCTGAGAGCTGTGGGCCAGCCCTCCCTGCCCCAGGTCCCCGCCCCCAGGGACCATGCTGGGAGGCTTCTGGGGTGGCGCCAGTCTCCAGGCAGCCTGTCTCCTTTTTATTCTGCTTTCCTGGAGGACGCATCTCTGAGGGAGGCAGTGTGCCCAGTGTTGCCAGAGCGTCGTCGGGGTGCTGTGGCAGGGGTGCTGTGGGTTCGCAGTGGGGTAGCAGCTTTGCTTCTGGGGCCTGGGGTGGGGGTGTGGGGGTGTGGGGGGGTGGCGGGGTTCCCCCAGCCCCTGGCTTGGATGGGTGAGACCCTGGCTAACCAGGGTGGCTGCAGTGGAGGCCCAGCCTGGGTTGACTCTGACCTGACCTCAGTGACCTGGGCCCCACAGGTGGGTGGGACTCCCAGGGTGGGAAGAGGCCTGGGCAGAGGCATCTGGCATCTGATTTTGCTTCCCTCTGGGTTGGAGAAGCCTGCTGCGCTGTCCCCTGGTGTGTCTGCTTTTGAATGGTAACAAGATTATGATAACCTACCTTTGGCATTTGATCTCTTAAAGTGGAGCATTTGGGGCGCGGTCCTGCGGGGCAGAGTGCTTGTCTAGCATCCATGAGATGGTGTGTGCTTCACACCATTCTTTTCTGGTCCTGGGGATTGAACCCAAGGGCGCTTAACCACTGAGCCACATCCCCAGCCCTTTTTTTTTTATTTTTTATTTTTGGTGGTGCTGGGGACTGAACCCAGGGTCTTGTACATGCACAGCAAACACCCTACCAACTGAGCTGTATCCCCAGAGCCCCCCAGCCCTTTTTATATTTTGAGACAGGGCCTCACCAAGTTGCTGAGGCTGGCTTTGAACCTGTGGTCCTTCTGCCTCAGCCTCCTCTGGCTGGGATTATAGGGGTGCACCACCACACACGTCTCTTCTGCACATTCCTAAGAAAATTGGTGTGGCTCAGCAGCCGGGAGCGCTCTACCCTGGCAGGGCCTGCTGCTGCGAGGCACCTGGCCTGGACACTCGAGTTCACCTGCAGCCGCCCCGCCGCCTCGCTAGGCAGGTTTCTCACCCCCGCCAGTCTGTCTGGAGGACACGCTACCCCCAGGACTGGCGTGCTTGCCGGGGCCACCTCTGTCAGCCCCCCCCCTCCCGCTGCCCTGGCTGCAGTGTGCCCAGGGCTTTGTCTCTGCTCACACCCTCCCCAGCGCTGGGGGTGCTTGTCTTGCTCATGGTCCAGTGGGATGGGCGGAAGTGGCACCTGTGGTCCAGTTAGGATCTCCATCAGCGGGGAAATGAGATGGCCACTGTATCTGGTTCTGTTTGAACTGGCTGTTGGAGGGTCCAGGAAGCCAGGGCCCGGTGGCAGGGATTGGGTGTGCCTGGGGCTCGCGCTCCTTTCTCTGGTCCTGGCAGCACTGCTCTTCTGCATGTGTTGGCTTTGTCCTCAGGCTGGAGGCAGAACTGGACTCCAGGGTCCAAATCCAGCCCACCATGGTGGACCCCGGGGGGGGGGGGGTGCCCAGCTCCAGAGGGAGCCCCGGAGCCCTCCCTGAGACCGCCCCTTCAGCCAGGGCAGATGACAGGTTCTGACTGGATGAGGTTCAGCTGGCATAGCAGGATGGAGGCCCCTCCTGGGCAAAGGGACGTGTCTGCAGCTGTGGCACATGGCAGATCTTTATCCAACTGTAGCTTTGTAGTGATGTGCTGTGTGTAGGCAGTTGGAGGGCCTGGTACGGGGGCCAAATCCTGCCTGTGGACCTGGTACAGAGCCTGAGTCCTGCCTGTGTCCTGGTACAGAGCCTGAGTCCTGCCTGTGGGCCTGGTACGGGGTCCAAATCCTGTCTGTGTCCTGGTACAGGGGCCAAGTCCTGCCTGTGTCCTGGTACAGGGGCCAAATCCTGCCTGTGTCCTGGTACAGAGCCTGAGTCCTGCCTGTGTCCTGGTACAGGGCC